AAAGGACAGAAAGGGGGAGTGGGGGCAGCTGGGTCGGACCCGTACTGGGGGCCCGGGTTAGACCTGAAGAGGGGAGGTGGGGAGTGGGGTTGGACTCGAAGCACTGCGGGGGAGGGTGGCATCAGACCCAAATTGTGGGGAGCGGAATCAAATCCGAACCGGGGTGACTGAGTCAGTCCCAAAGCGACAGGGGGATCAAGGGGGGAGTATGGTCGGACCCAAAGCAGGCGGGGGGCAGGGTTAGACCCAAAGTGGGGGGAGGCAGGGATGCCGGGCTCTGTCCCCGTCAGCCCCACCAGCATTGTTGACGGGCAGTTTGCTAGTACCATTATAAGCACTTCTAACCATCGCCACATCTGTGCTACGGGCAAGGTGCTACAATTGTTGTGTGCATTGTACAATCATAGGTCATCTTTACACGTGCTCCGGAGTGGGTGCAGGGGGCGGGGGTGTTTAATTCGAGTGTCTCCCAAAGTCTTAAGTACTCAGCGTCCCAGGCTTCAAAATGGTGGTGGTGGCAGTTTAACTAAAGCTTGTTGGGCGAGCATTAATTAAAGAGCCCTCACCACCATTTTGAAACTCAGGCACGCTGAATACACGTGACACGGAGGCTGCGGGAACATCCTAATTCGAACCTTCCCGCAGACTCCATTAATTGACTCGGCTCTGACGCACTCTAATTAGAAAGCAGAGGAGCAGGTATTGGGCACATGCACAGGTGTGCAGAGAAAGGCAGGGCTGGAAGGGACCTTGAGAGGTTTTCTAGTCCAGCCCCTGCCTGTGGTAGGGTCTTCTCGATCCACGTTGTGCGATACAAACCCATTGTCTGGTCTGTTAAAAAATACTATAGTGAACCCTGACACAACTAGAAGACAAAAAGCCCTGAACTGCCACAGATAAAACAGGCGTGGGGGGTGGCACAGCACTCAATGCAGTTTGGTTTGAGGATTGTTATATTGTGCTTGAGACACTCAAGGAAGAGGGCCGTGCTACCCTGCTACAGATGAAGATAAATCCTCCACAGTCCATACTAATTAACCAGGGTGTCAAAATCCTTCTTGACTCCCAAAAGTCAATTGGCTTGACCTTGGGCAAGACTGTAGGATATTCAGGGCCAAAGCCCCAGCAGGACACTGGCACAGGCCAGTCAAATCCCCAGCCCTGGCTGCAGGCAACTCCCAGTGGATCTGAGGAAGGGAAAATAACCCTGACATGTAGCAGCAGCAAAAGGAAAATATTTCTATTTATGACCTGGATCAGTGAACTCTCTGAGGGCTCCTATACATGTGCAGAGAGCCTGCTCCAACATGCAGTAATTACAGTGCGTTGGAGCAGACTGAATTAATAAAGACTGCCGGAGTATGGAAATAACCAGGCTCCAGCAGCTTCCAGCATCACGTGTATCAGTGTTTCTGTGCTGAAAAATGGCAGCAGGGGGCTTGAAATTAAATCTCAAAGCTGAGCTAATTAAACACCCCCCCACACACACACGCGCTCCACAGCCTCCTGGAGCACATCTGTAATTGCCCTGAGCACGTAGGGAAGGGCAGAATGCTTCAGGAGCACAACTGCTATGGAAAAGGCCTTTAAAAAAACACCTACTCCTCTTAACAACCCTTAAAAGAGGAGCAGCAACACACAACTTAGTTAATTTTACATGATAAATAATGAACAATGTTGCAGTGCAGTGAAAAGCCTTTAAGAATTCACAAATAACTCAATACTGGTAGATAGATGCTACCAAAATACCCATGAAATACCCACTAAAAATTCACGTAGGCAAACCTGAGAGCACAGAAGCATCCTGCATTGATATTTTGAGTGACTGTGTCTGCCAGTTGCTTTAAGATAAAATTTCAGAAGTTAGAGTGAGATAAAATCTGGATTTGGATAAGCTGCAAATACACAGTTCAATGGATCTCTATTATGACCCTGTGGAAATGCTAGCCGTGTGTGTGTTTGCTTCATGTTTCACTTGGTTTCCAGCGGAGGTGGGTCACTGGAGGCCTTGGATGGCAACTGACCTGATATATAAATTGCTGACTCCTTCTCTCGGTCGAGGAGGCTGTTCCTGACCCAACAGGACAAGTTCTGGTTTGAATGTCCGCTTATGACCACAGAAATTTCTGTTTGAAACAGGCCGTTTGCCTTTGGGGATTTTATTTCAGAAAGCGATGGTATATGATGCCCCTGGGCATTTCTCCACAGCACCTGGGGCTCTGGGTACCACTCAGCTGATCGACACATCACGTGGATCCCTCCAGGCTGGTAATCCTCCACAGAGATGATAGGATTAGAGCCTACAGCTAAAAAAGAAAGAAATTATAGTTCTTAAATCTATGAGTCAATTTTGCAAAGGCTTGTGAAAATCTTCTTCTTGCTGTCAAGCATTCCTAGATATTGCAGAGCAGGGTAGAAATGCTATTAATGACTATAGAGCCTAGATATTCCTGGATGTGACAGCTGAGAAATTTCATCATCAAATAATCATTGAGCCAATGAGAAATTATGGTAATTCAGATCTGATTTTGGTAAGTAATGAGGGCATTATAAAAGACTGTAAGCTTTAGGCACTTAGGCTGTAGGCTTCAGGGACTGAAACACCACAATACAAAGTGCAGACTCTGGACCCAGCACAAGCCTAACTTATTAGGTTTGCATTCTAGCCATAAGCAAAGTGTAGCTAGTTGACAGTACTACATGATAGTGTGTTTTTATTGACTGAATACAGTAAGGCAGACAGAAATAATCATTGGTTGCCAGTAAAGATACTTTTCTGCAGAGCTACAAAGTATGGCTATAGCAAAAGTCCTAAAAGACTGTTTCTCAGTAACCACAGAATGAACCTTTGCAGACATGACATCTAGCAAAGGAAAGAAAGCAAATGGCATGTCCAGCTGAAGCAGATCAGATTAAACAGATCACAGGGGCTTAAAGAAGGTAATCCAAATATATTATATTATCGCTTTATCTTATATTAATGATCAATGTAATTAAATTTATTGAATATTGTTTTATAATAGATATTTGTGTTTTAGCTTCTTAGATGTAAAAACAAAGCAGCCTCGTCAGTTAAAGCTCTAAATTAGGTGAAAGGAAGAGGATAAGAAATCCTCCCTTCCCAGAAGTGTACATTTCATAGGAACATAAATCCCAACCAGTTGACATCATCCAAGTGCACAACAGACTGGTTCAGTTCACCTTCAAAAGTTTCCATGAAATAATGACATTTGAACAAAGGCAATCAGAGAACAGTTAGTAGATTAGTAGAAGCCAGCTTTAAAGTTAGGGTAAAGGCTGGAGGGAAAAGGGGAGGGGGTCGCCCCCCATGACTGAGTGGTGGTAATTAAGGGGATGGTAGGAGTACCTTAATACCATGTCTAAACTTGCAAAAGAGGTCCTGATCACAGGGTAAAGTCTTGTCTCTCTAGAGGCTGAATGGTTACAAGGTTTTGCTAAGAAGGGCTGGTTGTAGAAAATAATCCTGGGAACTAACTGACTACAGATTGACAGGGTTCAAATTAAATGGAAAAATAAGCAAATTAGGACTGTAACTCAGGTTTCGGACTGCAAAGGAGAAAGGTTTATCTTGGGAGAATAGCTGGGCTTTTTCAGTCTACCAAAACTGAGGCAGAAAGGGATGTGTTTGCTATCTGTAACTATATTGGGGAGTAAATATGATGAAGGAAAAAGCAGTATTTAGTAGGGCTGTGCGAAATGGCACCATTGTGTTTCACCTTCAGTTTCGACAGGTCGAGGGAACAGAGTTCCTTTTCGAATTTCATTTCAATTTGAAACAGCTGTTCTTGTCCGTTCCATCGAAATAGAAAGGCTATTTCGATGCTGTTTAGACGTGTCACTGGGGACAGGGAGTCAGCTGTTTCCACTTCAGAATGAGTTGAAACAGCATCAAAACAAAACAGCTGGTGAAATTTCGCACAGTCCTACTATTTAGGTTAACAGACAATCTGGGTTCCAGAAAAAATGGTTATAACTTGAACATGAATAAATTTAGGCTGGAAATTAGACGGTCCTAAGCAGTGAGAAATCAAGAGCAAAGAAAAACTAACTGCTTTCAAGATGTTGCTTCAAATTATTAAAATACTGACAAAAATTGAAATATGTTTCTGAAATGTGAAAACGGCTAGATAAAATTGAAATACAGTGACTAATTGTAAAGTAATTCATACACAGGTTCCAAGAAGTTGGCATATTTCGAAAGAGAAAAAACCTGAAAACCATGCAGAGATGAACTGACACAAGCTACTGACCTGCTACCTTCAGTCCTATTACAGCTTCTTCATTAGTAATGCCATCTATGACAAAGCAGGTGTATTGCCCTTCATCTGAAGGCCTGATATTGAGAATCCTCAAGGAAACATTTCCATGTGTGAGGCCATCTTTCCAAAACGCTGTCCTTGTCCTGTATTCTGGCATCTGTCCTCCAAACTGATCTGTCCCATCGCGGTACAGATGAACATAATATGTGAACTCAGACCGGAACCACCTCACTTCCATGTTCTCAGCGCTCATGTTGGGGGACAGGCGGCATGGCAATACGATCTCTTCCCCCACAATGGCAGTGACTGGCTGATCAGGTCCAACAACTGTAAACTGGGCTGTAAAATGTACCAAAAACATCCCAAAATAAGCTCAGAAGTAAAAAGAGAAACCCAAGATACTCAACATCAAATGGATACCCACCTGGCAGAGTTTCAGCCTGGACTGGGAAAAGGACAAATAACTGAAAACACAGGCTTAAAACAGAAAGGGCTGAGCAACTCGAACTGCAACTGACTGCCCAAGTTAAGATATTCAGTGTCTGGGAACGGACAGAATATCCTGAATAAGTACAACATATGTATTTCCTAGTAATAGAAATGTCAACATTTTTCACTGGACATTTTCTGAACATTGTATCCCATAAAATGTGTTGGTGCCTTGATGTTTTAATCGCATTTTGGGATAAGATACAAATATGAAATCATTGAAATGTCATTTTAAAGAGAATTTTCCCCCTCAATATTGGTTTTGAAAAGCCAGTGGAGTGACGAGAAGGAGGATGTTAGGATACTGTGAGAGTGAGGAACATAGAAGCACACAGAACTATGGAAATATAATCGGGTGATAGATAAAGAGCTATTCTCCTCTATGGTTGGGGACAAGGAGGAAAACTTTTAATTTTAGATGTATTTATTGTTTCTTCCAACACAGTGATGTTAATACAACCTGGAACTTCTCACAGTTTCTTTTCCATTTTCCATAAAAGACTACAATTGGTGCAATGGGTTAATAAAAAACTAAATAAACCTTTCAGCAGCAGAAGAGGACACATTAATATGGAGCAGATATCTACAGATACCTACCTGATTCCACCTTGGAAATATGAAAAGTAATGAAGAATGTGAGAAAACCAGGCAGCGATGTGCAGACTCTGCAGATTTGGCACAATGAGGAACGCATCTTCTTCTAGGAAACTTGATTCAAAAGCACAAGGGGACGGCAGGAAAGAATTCACCTGGAGAACATCGAGCGCCGGTTACCACCTTTGTGTATTGGATTAAATAGCAGGAGGACAGCACATACAAGTATACAAGGGGAACAACCTTGGCTTGAATAAACTTATGAAAGTATAGACTTGAAGCAGGTTCTGAAACTGAAATTCCACAGAAATTCGGCAACTGAAACAGAAAGTCCAGGGGTATCCTTGATAACTCCCTCCCTCTTGTCCCCTAAATGAAAAATCATGTGCTGTGTCAGGTGATGATAAAGAGCTTTCATTACATTTTGGACCGTGTTAAATGAATGAGATCTAGAATCATAATACTGTGCAGTCTTAAAAAAAACCCATGGGGTCCAGATACAGTTACATGCCAATATAGCTGCTCAAAGCAACATGAGATTTGTCCTCTTCAAGATCTTCAGAGTATTGCATAGACGGCTGTGGCAAAAGAGGGGAGTGTCGATCCGTACTGCATAATGAGCTGTATGCTCTGCAGTGTGGAGATAGTCTTCTTCCCCTTTAGTTTGGGTGTTTTGTGGGGGATTTTTGTTCTTTTCTGAGGTTTTTGTTTTGTTTCATTTTAGCTATGATATCTGTAAAGTATTTTTAATGAAATTATTTGTGAATGTACAAGTAATTTAGTTTTTGCATCAATAATAAGAAAGTCAAAGGATTATCTAATCTCTGTATTATTACATAACCTAAAAATGGGGTGTTTTAGAGGGTATAAAGGGTCTCCTGAATGTTTCTCAAACAACCCAAGGTCACCTACCTGACTGATCCTGCTGAGCAGTGTCGTGCTGTGCTCTGCCTCCGAAACATGACTTCGGTTTTGTCAGGTTGGAAAAAGTTTTTCAGAATGTCAGATAGCAATTTCCACGTCTAATTCCTGCAGTAAAAGAGCCATAGGGTTTAATTGTAGTTTTTCTGTCCAGTTTTTAAGTTTCAAACTTCTGTATGCATTTTCATCTTGCAGAAGTTGTCACATCGGAAAGTGAAAGGAAGAGCAGGTTCCTGGGCAGGGCGCAGCCTGCTGCACATGCGCAGACAGGAGCACGTACGTGTCCAGGCTCCCAGGGAAACACCATTTCTACCTATGCAAAAGGACATTTTTGGCACTTTATGTGATTAAAGCCTGCTATTTACACTCACAAGGGGAAACAGAAAGTGTTGCGTGTGTGGTGGGGACTTTTAGATTCCTCCAAAAACAGTCTGGCTTTAAGAGGTTTTGAGTCCTTTGACCTTAGTAAAAAGCATTTCCTGCCACTAACTCTTAGTGAGCCAAAGAAGTTGTCTGGAAAGGGAAAAGGGAACAAAAGTCCCAGGGAAAGTGTTAGAAGCTGTGTGCAGAGAAAGGGGTTTCCTTTAGCAATACGGGAAGCGCAGCCTGTACCTTCAGGGGCCCACAACTTCCCCCATAGTAACTAAGCGTGAAAGACAAGCTTAACAGCAGACCTGTGCCTTATTTGGTAAAACTTTATTTTGATTGGAGCTTACGCTGCAGGTAAAAGAAGAGTTACGCAGTACTAGTCATTTTCTGCTAAAGCTTTGCGCATGCGAAAATATCATGGAACCAGAGAATATAAATACGTGTGTAAGAGTACAACCGGGGCCTCTCTGCCTTTCTGAGGTGGAGGGACCTTCGGCCAAATAAACTGGAAAGACCACGCCCTCGTCTCCTGTTTATTTGAGTCTCAGCTGGGAAACGAGCCCTGTTGGGGTCAGGAGTATTCGCAGGTGTTCCCTTTCCAGGCTGGGAGCTTAAGCGAATAATTTCTCCTACAGAAAGACAGCATTGACCATTGATTCAGTACAGCACTAATATATATATTCAGCTACCAGCACCACAGCCAAAAGGGTTTTTTTCACTTTTACAAAGAAAAGTGGGACTTGTAGTTCAGGACTCTGCAGGGTTGCTCCCCTTCTGCTTTATACTAATATTACATGTCCTAGTCACACAACACATTACATTACACAATGCATACACTACAGTATGAACTTTCATTACCTGGATAGATCACAGCTCTTCTCCACGGAAAGAAAGTGAAATCGGGGTGAGGACTTATCTGAACAATGCAGCTGTAAAAGGATTCTTGGATGAGGAGTGTGACGGGCTAGCTGGCAGTGACCTAGCCCCGGGGTTTTGAAAGGGCAAAAGATGATTGAAGGATTTTGGATTACCTTTCCTCACCAATTAGGCCCAGAGATTCACCCCTCATGTCCCCTGATTGCTGATTGGCCCCTTGGGTCACCTGGAGGGGGATAAAAGGGGTAGCACGGCTGACTCAGGGAGAGACCAGGAAGGGAGTACGAGGAAGGAGCTTCAAAGAGCTGGTCCAGCGGGGCAGAAGCAGTTGCCCCAGAAGAGTCTGAAGAAGCAGGACCTGCAGGCAGGAGTTGGACCCTCAGCAGCGCGGTGTGTGGCCAGCAGAAGAGGCTCCAGGATCCCCTAGGAGAGGCTGTGGCCAGCAGGAGGATCTGAGCAGCGACCTGAGGG